TGAGACCCGTAAGACCAATTCTCAACCCTTGGATTAGATTTACAATCGTCAGATCTGAACATTCATAAACGCCACAAGACTTCTCAATATTTACAAAATTGCCACCTTGCAATTTTGACCATTAGATCATTAGATTATAAAGTTGATCTATGAATATAAATTGGTCTTACGGGTCTCACGAAAAACTCTTGGTCTCACGTGAACTCGACCCTATATATATATTAAAAAAATTAAATTTTAAATAAGAGAAAGACAATTCATCAACATTAACATAAAAATAACAAAATACAAATTTATAACATAATTTAACATACATGATACCACATAAATGTAGACTTAGTTTCATAATGAAAATAATACCATTTATGTGGTTTTTTTTTAATTTGTGTTATTTGAATTATTGTAATTTTTAATGTAAAATTTATTAATTAAAAATTTAACCTTTTTATTTTAACAAATCTTAATTAATTAAATAAATAAATTAATAATTATTTATTATTATAATATCTATTACAAATTATATTTATTCTTATTAAAAATAGTAAATAAAATATGTTATTTTAATATGGGGTGTAACATTTCATCATACTAAATTTAAGATGAGACATGTCACAACTGAAAACGGATCAAAAGTCTACCATTTACAGTATGGAGCTCTAATAGAACTCCAAAAAAAAAATAACATTATAATCATTAAAATTCATAGCACTAACATAATTACATAATAACATAGCAAAAGCACTATATTCAACCGCTAGTCTTTTAACATCCTAAGCCATCTTGACCCTTCATCTTGTCTCTAATTTATATCTTGAACCTGCCAAGGTAAGACAAAACGAACCTCAATTGAGCAAAAATTGTCCAATGAACGAATAATAGCACAAGAAATATCAAATATGAAATATATAACTGAAAGGAAACATTACGATAAAAGTGAAATCAATTTAAATGTAAATCTCTAAATATTGAAACTTATATAATAAAAAAAATATCCAAGGTAAGAAGGTCATATCTATCATTAGGATACGTTGTTCATGATGGATGATCAGTCCAATCAGGCGTCGTAATGAAATGAAAGTGTTGAACACTACACCATCACATTCCCTGGTAACCAGAGGTATCTGGTATTCGACTATATCCGGTAACCACTATAATTGGTATTCGACTTTATCCGGTAACCACTATAATTGATATTCGGCTCTATCCGGTAACCAATATAAATAGTATTCTGCTCTATCTGATATTCGGTTCATATGATGCATCCAACATTCTCTATTTGGCTTGGTCGCGATCTTTACGAGAATGTCATGACTATTTTAGTCATCATGAGAGCGTCTCAACACCTGTGCCCGAGTATTGAACCTATTCAAAGTTAATTCAATAAACTCAAACTCAAATAACCAAATATTTGATAATAAGTCTCATAAAACTATTGATATCTATACTATCTTATTAAACAAATTTAGCAAAAGTCTTAAAGTCTTAAAATACTAAATGACCAAGATACCTTTTAGTCACTTTTTCATCCCTTCCTCTCCTCACATACACTCACCCCCTCACATACACACACCCTCTTACAACCGATTTTTTTAAAATAATAATTTTAAATTTACACTTTATACCCGTATAATTAGTTAATTAATTTACTTTACGTCCTTTACTTTTAAATATTTTATTTTAAACATTTATCAAATTAACATATATAATCGTATATCAATTAAAATATGTTTAAAAAATATATTTTTATTTTAACAAGTTACACCATCATAATCGTCTCGTTAATACATTCGAAATGAGTCCAATATTGAATAGTTTTTGACTTAATTATATTATTTTATATTATATATATTGTGAAAAAATATTTTTAATATTTACGATTTATACTTTTATAGTTATTTATTTATATATATATACTATATATTTTGGGATTAGGCTGTCCAAATTGCACTGTATAATATGTTCTAAATTAATATGTTATTGGGTTTTTTTTGAAATATATATATATATATATATATATATATATATATACATGTATTAATTCAATCTCAATCTGAGTTTCTAGACAAGAAAGAGGGTAAACAGTTGAAATTTCATTCTAAAACCCATCTTTTTTGGTCTTTTCATGGTTTATAATCTGTTAAATTTGTAGTTTTATTTATTGGTTTTGAGTGTTTATTTTAAAACTCAAGTTTCTTGGTTCCTTTGCTCTTGGTGTAAAGCGAACACATTTGTGGAATAGTTTGAATATGTTGGATTTTAAATATATTGGATTTTAAACTGTTAAACAATTTTTTTTATCGATAGTCTGTAATTGGAAGTTTGGAACTATAACTTTTATTTATTCAAATTGTATTAATATGTAAAGACCAAGTGTACCATATATCATCATCAAATCTTATCTTATAAACAGTGGAACTTCAAAATCGTTAAAATTCATGGCTCCCGCCGCATTGCACGGGTACACAACTAGTTCCAATTCATATAAAATCGACCATGGGTCTTAAAACACACTGATAATGGTTTGGACTTCTCAAGTACATACATTTTTTAAACCAATACATCATATAACACATAAAAGAATCTAAAATACCAGTTTGATCGTCTCCACTTTTGTGGGTGGGTGTCATGATCAAGATTTCATAGCATGCATTATCACCACAATTGATTGTCCACATATCAAAAGAAATTAGATATTCGTAACTCGGAGGTGTTTTATAGAAAATCAAACAAAATTTAAGGCTTAGGAACGGTTTACAAAAATCCTTATCAACTTATTATAAGTTAGAATGATTTAATTTCTTAAAAAAAAATTATTATTAGTTTACACATATATAAACACTTTTATCTAACACTGGTAGGTATTTATTACCAGTATCAAACTGAAATAAATCAAATAAACTACGGCAGCATCAACAAGATGATGATGAGATCAATGCCTCTTATAATGATAACTATTTTTCCCATGATCCCATTGTTCTTGATGGTCGAATTTCAGCTTCAATGATGACGTGTTGTTCTTCAGTAGTTGCAGGTTTGGTCGAGTCGTCGATCCTCCATTTTCTAAAAACCGGAACTGAACTCATAGGTACTTACTATACGATTCTCGGAAGAAATAGCAATTTTTAACATCAAAAGCTACTCGTGATTAGTTTCACAAATGATGTGATTATTGGTGATTGTTTTGAATATGGAAACAACAATGCTGGATTTGAACTTCGAGGTGCTAAATCGAACGGAGGCGAGTTGTGTTCATGAGGTGGTCGTTTCAGTAATCAAGCCTAGAAACATCAACTGAATTCGTGAGGTACGTTTAACCATCGCCTGTGCAATTTACTACTAATTAGGGTTTTATTCGTTAGTTGATCACATTATTGTTCAAAGCTCGATCATATTACAGCTACTGGAAAGCCTATTCGATCTCATATATGAAGTAAGTTCATCTACATGATTTTTTAGTCAAAAATCTCATCAACAATTTAGTATTTAGCAACGATTACGCCTGTAAAAGTGGAATAAGAATCAAATGTCCGTAAAAATTGGGTATAGGTGTAAAAGTGTTCATGTTTTTTGGTGATTTAATTTCATCATCTGGTATATGAGATCCTCACCAGCCATAGAAATAAACAAGTCTAAGCTGTTTGTTTTCCGCCATGGAAATGCTCATTTGCTTTCACAAAATCTGGCGAGAATCAAGCAATGTCTCTCGAAATAAACCTGTATCGTGTATTTGTGTTTGGAGAATTTAAATTTAGAGGATTTGTTGCTAAAGATAGATTTCATTCTTCCTTTCCTATAAGCAGCATTGGCCGATCCAAGTTATAAACAAAGCCTTTCAATATGAAAGGCTTATGCTGCTATCTTTTTCTTTCCCTTTCTATCTGTTCTTTCCCCTCTTTATCTCTTTCATTAAACAAAGCCTTTGCGGCTGCGATCACCCGTCGTCACCTAGGCGCTCTGATAAATATCAATCATCGACCCTTTGTTTTTGAATTTCAGATCGATGCCCGTTTGAATTTCGCTAATCCTAGACTTAGGATGGCTTATGGTGTCTTCCAAGAATGGAAAAAGGTTATCTTCTCGGACCCAGGTAACATGATCGCCAACTGGGAAGGCACAGACGTGTGTTCTTACAACGGGGTGTTTTGCGAAAAAGCTCCTGATGATCCAAATTCAATGACCGTTGCTGGCATTGATCTTAACCATGGYGACATYGCCGGCCAWYTGGYTCCTCATMTKGGCCTATTAACWGACCTTAGCKTRTTCCATATAAATTCSAATAGATTTTGTGGGAYCATCCCRACGAGTTTCTCCARGCTCACRATTCTACACGAGCTAGATWTAAGTAATAACAGATTYGTAGGTCCKTTTCCTAGCGTTGTCCTAGAATTGCCTCGATTGAAGTATCTTGATCTTAGATTCAATGAATTTGAAGGGCAGTTGCCTCCTCAACTCTTTGATAAGGATCTTGACGCTATCTTCGTGAATGACAACAAATTCTCGTCCCCAGTCCCTGAAAACATTGGTAATTCAAAGGCTTCGGTGATTGTGTTTTCAAATAATGGCTTTAAAGGTTGCATTCCTAAGAGCATTGGTCAAATGACGGGATTAGAGGAGATCATTCTATCTAACAACGAGTTTTCTGGGTGTTTGCCGGAGGAATTAGGATTACTTGAGAACTTAACGGTCTTAGATTTTAGCAATAACCAGTTAGTAGGGACGCTTCCTAAAGGTTTCGAAAGATTAAAGCAACTTGAGAAAATTGACATTGGACGGAATCAGTTGATAGGGAAGGTGGTCGATAACGTTTGCAGTTTGCCCAAATTGTTGAACTTTACGATCGCTGATAACTTTTTTGATGGTTTGGAACCAACATGTGAAAACCCAACGAAGGCTGAGTTTCTTATAGATGATAAACAGAACTGTTTGCCAAAGAAACCGAATCAGAAAGCAGTTGAAAAGTGTTCGCCGGTGGTGAATCGGCCGATAGATTGTAATAATGTCGGGTGTGAGAAACAAAACGGTGGCCGTAGCAGTGACGAAGAGTCGTTATGGAGAAAACCACCACAGATCCCTGCACCACTGATGCCATCTCCTCCATCACCTGTTGAACAACCACCGCCGCTGCTGCCACCTCCGACACCTGTTGTTCCGCAACCAGAACCTTCTCCACCTCCACCACCAAAGGTAGAGCCTCCACCACCACCGGTTGAATCGCCTCCTCCACCGGATCAATCACCGCCTGTGCCCGTTTTCTCTCCACCACCCCCGGTGCTGCCGGATCCAACGCCAGAAGTAGAGCCTTCTCCAGGTGCAACACCAGAAGTAAATCGCAATTTTTTTGGTTCTTTTGGAGTACACTTTGGGCCTGGTTTTTTCCATCATTTCCACTTCAAACATGAATCACAAACAAAAGTTAATGACTAGGCTTTTGAAAACAAATCCCATTAGAACAAATAAATCAATGCTTTCTTTCTTGCTTTCAAACAATGTCCACCAAAACTAACCCATGAAAACATAAACAGCTCCTCTAATGAAATGGGTAAAGAAAAATTAACCAATGAAATGGGTTAATGACATTAAGTTTGGTACGCGAACAAGACAGGACAAGAGAACGATACTAAATTGGATAATACAAGTTGTCTACCTACTGTTTGGTATGACTAAGACTGGACTTGGCCAGATAAATTACCCTTGAAGGCTGTTTACTGATTTTTATGTGGTGGTTAACGGTGACAGTGGAAGAGAAGGTGGTAATGGTGTGATAGTGGGGTTGGACCCGTTGGTGTCCGGTTGTTAATGGTGATTGTAGATGACGTGAAGGTTATGGATAGCGATGGTGGTTAGGGGTATTATCAAATGAAAGTAGATTAGTAATTTTTTAGTTTTTTTTCATCCTTGTCTAGTCTTGTTCCATCTATTTTGGTGGAACAAAAAAAAAACCTTTTTCTGTCTCATGTCGCGCCAAATGTGGAACAATGAATTGTTGTTCAGTCACATGTTGTGTCAAACGTGTGAAATGATGAGTTTTTGTTCTTTGATAGTCATGTCCAGTACCATGTACCAAAATGATATGACTTTTTTATTATGAAAATTTATTTTCAGACAAAGAACATATTTGTTTTAAATATTTGTCGTTCGTTTAAAGAAACCATATTTCACTATGTGAAATATTTTCCTTTATTAATACCAAAAAAAATAGCAAACGTTATCGTTGCAGATCAGAAAACGTACAACATCGAAGTGAATAATATATCAGGATATATCATATAGTAATATATTTTGAAGTTAAAAGGTTTAGAAACGCCTTTGATTTCAAATTACAATTATTAGTTAGTTTTTTGGAGTCCAAAAAGTTTTAAAAATTATATATATGTTACGTTCCGGTGAGAAGGAGAGTTAAGGTGAGAAACGTAAGAAAAGATCTCCACCATTGGATGTACGTTAGGATGAGATGTACGGAGATACACCGGATCAATCCTCGTATCAAACACGATTCATAGATGAGTTTTAGATTAAAAGTGATCAATGGTCTATATCATTTCTTACGCTTCTTACCTTAACCCTTCTTTGTCTAAGATGCTTCACTTATGCATTAATTAATTATATACTTAAAATTTAAGGGATTATGGGGCCGTTTACCAAACACTTACCCGGTAAGCGTTTATCGGTAAAATTTAATATTGTCATTTACTTACCAGGTAAGATTTTAGTCCACCAAAATGACATTGTATGCAACAATTTACCCGGTAAGCGTTTACCGTGATAAGAGTCGTTGCTCCTACTTACCAGGTAAAACTCTTGGTCCTTGTGTCACTCTTACCGAGTAAGATTCTTAGTCCTTATCATATTCATCCCGTAAGGTAATGTAGTTTGGTAAGCGTTTACCTGGGTAAGCGTTTGGTAAACAGCCTCTTGGATGTTTCCGGGTACACGGCCGCAGATTGGGGAGGCAATATGACAAACCGTAGGTCTAGAAGTGATCACTAGCAATCCTCTGTCCCTATGATGGTGCTAAATTTTTGGAGTTTTAAGGATCCAAAACTCGGGTAAGTGATTTAGTTTCACAGGTACCAAAAACATGTTAGAATGAAAGAACATTCAAAGTGTTGATAATAAGGTTTGGTGCACTACTTTTTTTTTTTTTTTTTAACGGTTCAAACATCATCTTCATTTTACGTCACGAGAACATGAAAACACATTTTTACTATAGTCAATCACATGTGAAAACACCTTTTCATTACATGTGATATACACGTGTCAGAGACGCGAACGACCTTCAAGGCTTCAACGTAACCTAAGTTGCGGGCCAAGTCACCCATACACCACTAGTCCTCGTCACATGTATTATCACATGTGATAACGGCATTCTTTATGTGATACTAAATCAGAGGCGTAGAATACCTTTGGTGTGGCCTAGGTCGCAGGACACATCGTCCTCGCACCATCAAATCCCTTACGTGTGTTATCACATATGATAAGGGTGTTCTCGTGTTTTTATAAATGAAGTTGTTCTCGTTTGAATCTCCTCTATACATATTCTTGTTTATTAATGGGTGATGCTAGAAATGCCGTGGTGTATGTATGTGCATCTTCAACAGAATCTTGAGAATGTAGAAAATAGAGATTGGAACTTTTAGCATGTGTTGAGATGACCAGATAGTATTTTATGAGGTCCCAAAATCTTCCAGTATATCATACTCAAAAATAGGTAGGATCAAAGGATAAGATGTGCCCGGAAATAACTGATGATGAATGTGTTTTTCAATTTTTCATTTTTGTAGAGTAAATTCTATGAAATTTAAATGTAGGGTTAAATGTATGAAATATCAATCTACTTTCATAAATTTCTTTATTATTGCATTGTACTTTTATTTTTTCTTATACAACAATGTAATTTCAAAAAATTATTTTTTATTAAAGTATTGTACTTTGAAAAACTTAGTTGTTATAGCAAGGAATTCCCTTTTGGATTAAGCTAAGATGACATGCCAATGTCATTGTCCATGTGTAACATATTCTTGACGTGACATTTCTTATCATAGAACGAGCAAGTTTGAATTACACACAGGTTTCTATGCCAATGTCATTGTCTATGTGTAACATATTGCTGACGTNCAAGTTTGAATTACACACAGGTTTCTATGCCAATGTCATTGTCTATGTGTAACATATTGCTGACGTGACATTTCTTATCATAGAACGAGCAAGTTCGAATTGACATAATATGCAACCTTTTAGTTTAACTTCATTTTTCTCCGCAAGGGCACTTGCATGAACAAAGAAAGAGGCCCACTTGCAGCTGGGAGATGAATAATCATTTTTCTTCTCATCATCTGTATTTAAGAATGATCAGATAAAATCTATTTTTTCAATAAAATGCACCCATCACAAGTTGCGACAAGGGTACTTGCGGTATTGATAAGTGGTAAAAATGAGAAAATGATGATTAGGAGATGAACCACGTCGGTCAAAATGGCTATTTACGTTAATTTCCCCCAAAAGAAGTGGTGTCTACTAGGGATATCATTAAATGAAGAACCATTATTCATAATGCTTTCATAATTTCTTGAAAATGTGATAAATCTGATTCGTTTGTTGAAAAATGGTTCGATTTTTTTCTATGAGTCAAATGGATTGACGTAATTATATGTTCACAACTTGCTAAATTGTTTTTTGAAGTTTGATTATTATTTTGATGATATAATTGTATTTAATATAATATTTACTATAACATGATATGGTTTTATATTTACTAGTTGTGAACCCACACAATGCAGCCGGAAACATGAATAAATTTGGTCATCTTTGTTGCAAGATCATTTATATATTTTTATTTATCCTTTAAGGCATTGATTGATTCACAAACTAGTCGGAACATGAGAGGATCAATTGGCTTCGGAACATGAGAGTATCAATTGGCTGCCATGTGTTTACACATAAAAGTGTAGTAGGCATAAGATATATCCTACTCCCATAATTTATGCCTTTGCATAGTTGAATCATATGTAATTTCACACAAAAGACCTCCTGATGTCTATTTGATGCATATAGTCTTGCATTGATTTTTGCACTTCTTGAAAGATTTGTAGCATCATTTCTAATAAACCAACAAACGCAGTATATCTCGTCCGAAGGTAGGGCTAAGAGGTAAGATGTACGCATACCTTAATTACTGTCTCTATAAGATAGAGATGTTTCCGAGAAGACACCAATAGTAGGAAATGTAAAGATAGGCCACAAGAGTTGTAAAAGAATGTAAAGAGCCGAACACGATAAAAAGCACACAAAAGGAACTCTGTATCTAACACAAGAAACCACCAACCTATGTGAAGAATCTCCCATTCCTACTTGGGATCAACTACCCTAATTCGTTGCCTCCAAGTACTTCTATCCGAGATCATTTCTTATGTGATTTACAAATAACAGAGATCTACTTTTATACACGAGTCACACCCATCGTTGGAAAAATTCCAAGTACAAAAAGATCCTAGATCATAGGAGCTGTTTGGTTCAGGTCAGGAGATGAAAATGAAAATTAGAATGGGGATGAATTTCCATTCCTCCAGTTTCATTTGGAATCAAAATTTGAGCTTCTTGGGGAATAAAGTCATTATGTTAAATAAAACCGAACAGTTTCTTTTATTTTGATTAAGTTGACTCTAACTAAACACCCCTTAGTGTAAGATATCTAACAATCAGACTTGTTATTCAACTGACTAGCCGAATAACAATTAATCTTAAATCATACATACACCTCAATCAATACAAACAGCTTAATCCATATTGGAGTTAATGGACCCCTTAGGAGCTTGATGAGCTTAATGGGACTCGCACCTTATTCGATCAGTTGCTCATGACTGTTTTGGTAGTGGCTTAATGATATAGAAAGTGGCTTATTCAGTAAACTTCTAGGGGGAAGCCTTATGTAGAAAGCCAAGTTTCTTCCAAACCCGCCACTCCCAGTTAAAAAACACGATTCTTCCATCTATAAAAAAACCCATCCTAAACAAATACCTTCCCAATCTATACAAATGAATTAATCCACACAGACATTTATCCATACGGTATATAATGAAAAACCAACCAAACAATCCCTTACATGCATATAAGCCATGTAAGACAATTGTGATTGGTTTTTTGAACCATTGTAACAATCCTAAAGTATAGGCTTATCTCTTTGACCTAATTCGTATTATGTTGTTTTGAATTTGGTAATTGCATGTTCATACAATCCAAAATTGATCTTCATGGCTCCAAATTATACTCAAGCAATCAACATAATCAGAACAGTATATAGAAACAGAAGCTCGTAACAGAATCGTATTCTTTATGTACTTAGCTTCATCATCAAAATTTGCCACCATCAGCAGGTTTCTATAATCTACCAATACAATTAGCTTAATTTTACCCAAAATCGTATTCTAGCATGCCAGCCAAACTCATGCAATAAAATTACAAATCCCCAAATTCAAATCACACCAATATATAATAATCGTTACGCATAACATGTAATTCGAAATCGAATTCCGCACACACCTCAAATTGATGCGACAAAAATTTATGACCTGAAATTTCTTCAAGCGACGGCGACAGGTTGTTGCTTCGCCGGTTCGATATTCGTCTTGGATTTCTGATCAGAAAAATCTTCCATGTTGTATAT